GCAACAAAAATGTGTTTTTAGGAATTCTTCATAGTAAAATGTTTCTTTTCTTCTATTTTATTTTTTTCATGCCACTGACAACCCTCTGAAAATACCTTATTTATCACTTTAGAGATTTGGGTCTGGGACTCCCCAGCTAAAATGTTGGATTTTTGAAAGCCTATTCTCCACTGTATGTCCAACTCCTAAAACTATGTATGATAGGTACTTAATAAACTTTTATCATATAAATAAAATTTCAAGAAAGATATGGTAAATATATAAACAAATTGGAAATCATACATTTATAAAAGTGTGATATGTTGAACGAAAATTCCTAAGGACAGAAATGAATATTTAAAGTTGATATGAAACCTTTACCTCTGAAAGAGTTGCGCCTTTTACTACTAGAGTCATCTAGAAAAAAGACATTATTTTGTGACAGAAACCCCAAAATAGAATGAAGATGAAATTTCTCCAGAATAAATGACCAGAAAATACAGAGTTTAGAGTTTAGTCTTCTTTTCTTTCTTTCTTTCTTTTCTTTTCTTTTTTTTTTTTGAGATGGAGTCTCCCTCTATTGCCCAGGCTGGAGTGCAGTGGCATGATCTTGGCTCACTGCAACCTCTGCCTCATGGGATCAAGCAATTCTCCTGCCTCAGCCTCTCAAGTAGCTGAGATTACAAATGTCTGCCATCTCGCCAAGCTAATTATTGTATTTTTAGTAGACACAGGGTTTCACCACTAGGCCAGGCTGATCTTGAACTCCTGGCCTCATGATCCACCCGCCTCGGTCTCCCAAAGTACTGGGATTACAGGCGTGAGCCACCACACCCGGCCAGTCTTCTTTTCAAAACAGACCTTCAGCATACATCACAGGATTTTTTTTTCTTGACTTTAGTCATCCTTTCTGTCAATGGAATATACAACTCTTGTTTGGTAATTCCCAGAGTTTCTCAAAGGAGCCCTGACAATATGGAATTGGAGTGAAATATATCAAGCTTTCTAAATTCATATTTTAGAAAACAGAGGGAAAAAGTGAAATACTATTCTGTACTTTACTCTGATAGGCTACCTCATCTCTGGGCTGACTCCCTTGTGTTTTCTATAAGGAATGTATACTGCCATTAAGGAGGCTCTACAAAAGTGGGAAAAACTGAAATCCTGGGGTTTCACCTAATTTTGGCAGCTATCAGATGTTGCCAGTAGTCAACTAGCCTCAAAATACTTAAAAGCCTGCAACATTTTAATAAAATAGCAGTAGTAGCAGCAATAATAATAAAGCTTTGCTGGATCTGAGACTTAGATATAATGTAATCTGTTAGTTTCTGAAGTATGTGTTGTGTTGTTATTGCCTTTATAACAGCTCTGAATGAATGGTTAACTTTCTGCTTGGGTAATTGCATCCCAGTGAAAGAGGGGCCCAGTTAATATTGTTGCTTGCAAGCCACAACCAATGTATGGTTTCAGCAAAGAACTGGGGATTCTTGAGGAAACCACCTTCCCAAACACTTGACCCTTGGTTTAATAAACAGCTTGTTGAGAGAGTGACCTGCCATTCGTCTTCCTTTCAGCAGCACTGATCACATCTGGTGAACCCTTGTCAGGGTGCTCTGGGTAGGAGAAGCAGTGTCAGCAAGGCAAACCTCAGCCTTTACACACTCCAAATGCAAACATGCAGATCCCATGGTAGCATGCACTCCTTGTGTAATGTTCCATGCAGTGTATTTTTAATGAAGCTTCTGAATTGAAATTCAAAATAGTACAAAGTTCTATGGTTCCAGTCTGGGCAATATGGTGAAACCCCATTTCTACAAAAAGTTAGCCAAGCTTGGTGGCATGTACCTGGAATCCCAGCTACCCAGAAGGCTGAGGTGAAAGAAACACTTGCGCCTGAGAGGCAGAGGTTGCAGTGACCCAGATTGAGCCACTGCACTCCATCCTGAGTGACAGAGAGAGACGCTGTGTCAAAGAAAAAAGTTATATGGTTAAACTAGTGTTGCCAAGAATATACAATCCTTTGTATTTCTGGATTTTTAAGATAAAAAAAATTGTCTTTGTTATAGCTGTGCCTGTTTTCTTTCTATTCAAGTTTTCAAGGATTTTTAAAAAGCAAAACATCAACATAAAGACATATGGTCAGTCTTTAAATATAAAAGAGAAAGCCCATTTTAAAGTAATTTTAGAGAAATATTGCTCTTCAGTGACACAGCTATCACCTAAACATGTTGTTTCATGAATGTTTGAAGCTCTATTGAGACCCTATTGTCACATCTTTTCCCCATAAGCCTGATATTGAAAAAGGAAGGGACAAAAAATAGCTATTCTTTTTGTACTGCAGTAATTCCATAATATCACAGTTTAAAAGTTGATACTTAGCCAAACTTCCAGAAGGCCCAAAGTCATAAGGGTTTAATAGCTGAGGTCTGCTTAGCAGCAAATTGAGGGCAGGTGCTTTGCAGCAAATGGAGGACAGGTGCAAATGATGACTGCCACTTGCAAACACGTAATCTCTAAATATTCCCAGGACTTCTTTTTTTTTTTTTTTTTTTTCTGTGTGCAAACCCAATTGATATCATGAAGAAAGAGGACAGGACAGCCCAAATTTTTATTTATGGCTTTCCTGAAGTTGCACAAGAAGAAATGGGCCTACCCTAAGAATATCAGAAATGAGTCAGAAAGAGAAAACCTAGACTTCTTTCTCCAGGAGAATTTTCCTTAAGCACCTTAGGTTTGTGTAGACAGCTACCTTCCAGGATGCAGAAGTTTCAGGAATGCTTGTCTATTCTTCTCCAAACACATACTCTTTAGCAGTGCAGTGCAATATACTCAGGGCTCCTGCAGTGTTCCTTTAGCAGGGAACAACGTGGAGAGAGACTTCTACCTGTGTTTGAATGCTGACCTACGAACTTGAGGGTGATTCATTATTGAACCTCTCGAAGCCTTGGATTCCTCATTAGTAAAAGGAGGATAATAATCATGTCTGCCTCAGGTGATGATGGAGACTACAGGAGGTAGCTCCTGGCAAATCTCAGTAAATCAAAGCTGCTATTATAATGATGTTTATTATTGTTATTACACAGCTAGAAAAAAGAAAAAGAAAATAGCCCTGGAAGAATAACACACGGATGTCATTGTCAAAAGGAAAAAAATATCAAAGTAGGGGTGGCGGCAGGAGGGACAGGCATTTTTGGGCCTCTCATGCCTCATTGTTTTGCTTAATGGCAACTTATTTTCCCAGCCTCCGATTGCATAGAGTTTGTACTACCTTTTTCACTTTTTAACTTTTAAAATTATGCCCTTTTTTATGTTTTGCTCATTTCCCTATCCAGCCTAAGACAGCATCTAAAATATATTGGAACTGTAGAAATATTTGCTCAATGGCTGATTTGAAATTTTAAAAGTAAAAAACCTGGTTTCTATTTCTGTTTACTAGAATTACCAGGGCCTGCTATACTGTATAAGTAATAAATGCTTAGCAAATGCTTTTTAGAACATTGGTTAAAATAGATCATTAAGTGTAAGGTGAGATTTTCTCATCTTTACAAATAGTATGGGCTGGGCAAGCTGGCTCACATCTGTAATATCAGCACTCTGGGAGGCTAAGGCAGGAGGATTACATGAGGCCAGAAGTTCAAGACCAGCCTGGGCAACATAACTAGACCCTGTCTCTACCATAAATAAATAAAAATTTTAAAAAATTTAGCTGGGCGGTCGGGCGCGGTGGCTCACACCTGTAATCCCAGCACTTTGGGAGGCCGAGGTGGGCAGATCACGAGGTCAAGAGATCAAGATCATCCTGAGCAACATAGTGAAACCCCATCTCTACTAAAAGTACAAAAATTAGCTGGGCGTGGTGGCGTGTGCCTGCAGTCCCAGCTACTCGGGAGGCTGAAGCGGAAGAATCGCTTGAACCCAGGAGGCGGAGATTGTAGTGAGCCGAGATTGCACCACTGCACTCCAGCCTGGCGACAGAACAAGACTCCATCTCAAAAAAAAAAAAAAAAAAAAAAAAAAGCTGGGCACAGTGGCACAGGCCCGTACTCCTAGCTACTCAGGAGGCTGAATTGGGAGGATCCTATGAGTTTAAGGGTTCAGTCATGCCACTGCCCTCCAGACCGAGACTCTGTCTCTGAGAATAAAATAAATAGTATGGATAAAAGAAAGTCCTGTACAATTCTTCAGTGGTCTTTTTGTTTTGTAATGAGGGTGATGCCCAAGTTCCCACCCAGTGCTATCTGATGGCTAGTTAAATCCTTTTAAGACTCTTACAAGAATAGACTCAAATGTCATGACTCTTGAAAAGTACTGGCATAGTTGAACAAGTTTATAATTCCATTTTCTCTGCCTAAAGTCCCAGATAGCAAAATTTTCTAGAGTCTAATCTAGTATTCATCAAGTCACTTGAGCACACAGCCCCCATCTTAGATGCTTCCTACCTTTAGTGAAGTGCTGCAGTGTGTTTATTTTCCCTGTGTCTAGGTTTCACTTGCCACTGCATATTTTTATATGACTTTTTACACTGTGTAGATGTAAATTACTTTTTGGTATACCAAGAGAAAGTAATGCTCTTAAGAAAAAAAAAGTTCACATAGATTTGTAGTTCCTGCAATCTCAAATACACCAAAAAAATAGTTTGTTCTTATTTTTATATTGAAAATATGATAGATGGTCTGATAAGGCCAACTTCATTAATGCATTTTATAAGTACTACAATATAATTGTTAATTTGTCCCTACATAGCCTCCAATTACCTCCTCAACTCCTGGTAACAGCCGCAACCTCATCTTTCATTTTTATTACCTACCAGTTAATTGCACTAATAGGTCTTGCTTTTCATTTCTCCATGATTTTCACTAGAAAAAGTGGCAAGTGTTAACTTTTGCTGCTTTTTAGTTAGTAAATGTTTCAGGCTTTTTACTCAGAGAAAAGCAAGGAAAATGGGCTTTTCAATTTTTCATGGAATTGTGCTTCCTAGTCTCAAAATTCCAGATGACTGCTTCTAACTTTTACTTTTTTAGAAAAGAAGAGGCTTATTTGGGACCAATAAATTTTGCCAGGTAAGGAATGTTGGTAGCTAGATCTGTGTGGTAGGGTATTTTTTTTCTTTGAAAAAGCTTCTTTAGTATTATTTCCTAATGAATTATAATTTTCTCAATCCATAGACAGCTTTTTTTTGCACAATTTGAACTAACATGAACTAATTTAGTATGACTACTTAATAAGACATTTGTTAATTTAAAAGATATGTTGCAAACACTTAAGAAATATTTTTGAAAGTACTTGTTCATTTTTAACAATGTCTATGAAATGCCAACAATCTTTAACAATGAGAATTTGTTATGTAATTGCAATATCTCCAATAATTTTTGAGTAGTCTACACATTAAATCATTATGATATAAAACAGTTTTGACTATACTAAACTGAGTTATTTGCATTGATCACATTTTAAGATTTATGATAATGATTTTATTCATCCTGAATATTTTATTCATCCTGAAACTTTGTGATTGAATAAAAGAATTATCATTGTTTTAGTTACATGCATCTCATTATGACTACAGAGAACTGGCATTACACTAGCAGAGGAAAAAAATGTAAGTTACCATAAATTGATATCATAGCTATTTTATCTAGCTTTTAGAGCATTGTACTAATGCTAAGAACAACAATTGAGAATTGTACCACTTTATACTTTTGATTTAAAAAGTATCTGAAAGCTTTCTTCATTACTGTCACATTTGGATCACATTGAAAGACTCAAGTATTTGTAGTTATTGCATCAGAGGGCAAATACTCAAAACATTAGTTTGGCAGTGTCTGTTTCAAAATCAGATACATTGTCAAATGGGGCATTCTTTTTTATTCCGTTTAAAGTCTCTTTTCAAGTAAATCACGTGCCCCAGAGTGACATTTAAATATGAAAATATAACTATAGAATTTTGTGATAAACAGCAGAAGAAAAGAGATCTAGACTAGAAGAAAAAGTGAATCTTTTCCAGAAACCTATAAGGAAATATAGAATTAAGAGAAAAATAAGAAAATCTGCTCCAAGTGAGACAGATGGGGCTGCAATCTTCATACAATTAGTTATAAGTTATCCAAAGGATGAAAAAGCAGCAAGAGTTTATGACAAGTGGCAAAGAAGGGGTAGAAAGGCTGTGCTTATTTAGTTGATTTTATGAGAAAAATTAGGATTACATATAGAAACTGGAGGAGCCGATTCTGGGGAGAGTTTCATGAACTCCACAGAGAGTTTTAGAGAACAGATGGATGGAAACTTTCCTACATTTCTGTTTGGAGTACTCAACCACAACTCACCTTTCAGGGTGGAGAGCTGTCAGCCTTGGAGACACAAGGCATATTTTCAGGCCAGTGTGGTACAAATGTGAGATTTGAGCAGAATAAAACTATTAGGGGGTGGGCATAGAGGCTCACGCCTGTAATCCCAGCACTTTGGGAGTCCAAGGCAGGCAGATAACCTGAGGTCGGGAGTTTGAGACCAGTCTGGCCAACCTGGTGAAACTCCATCTCTACTAAAAATACAAACAAACAAACAAAAAACTAGCCAGGTACAGTGGTGGGCACCTGTAATCCCAACTACTTGGGAGGCTGAGGCAGGAAATCACTTGAACATGGGAGACAGTGGTTGCAGTGAGCCAAGATCATGCCACTGCACTCCATTCTGGGCCACAAAGCAAGACTTTGCCTCNACAACTGTATTAGGAGTTATGTGAAAAATTATGTAGGCAGCTAACAATTTTTAAAACTTAATGAGAATATTTATATTCAAAGATCTTGTTGGAGCTGTCAATAGATATAATAGTCAACTAAAAACTTGAAACTAGATATTGGTAAATGTATCTTTTGTCTTTCTATGTTGTGGCAGCATGAAAACAGGTACGATACATGCACACCTTGAGGAAAGTTTTAATGTTGATGTTAATTTCAATATATGTTTTAAAAGGAGTAATAGGAAAGTGTACATTAACTCTATCATTTATTGTTTAAGTGTATCTTAATTTGATTTAAAGAAAAAATATTAGTGTATGGATATGGCAAAAAAATGAAAATAGCATGCAGAAAACTGGTATTTAGGAAATATTCATATTGTTTAATCCCTTGTAGCTCACATATCACTAGATGAGAAGTATTTTCCAGAGCCTGAGAACAGAAACTATCTCAATAAAATTCTCTTGTTTTTTAACTTTTGTGGGATTTTTTTCATCTTGCCAAGATAAGTTAGTTAATTTCATTTTTAAGCCTGTCTAAACTGATTTGCCATGTCTGGTAACTGTCAAAAAGTATAGTTTCATGTTTTGCAAATAGATACATGAGACTTAACTTTTTGTGTTTGTGAATAAAATAAGAAAGTAAACTAGGATTTTATTTTCTGGCCTTTTGACATTTTCTTTGTCCCATGGAGAGTTTTTAAAATTATTATTCTCATTAAATAAAATTTGATACAATCAATTATGACCTTCAAAAGTATGAATCCCTAGATTTTCCAGTAATTATGTGATAGATTTAGTAGTTAAACATAATACTCTTAAGAAGTTTTTTTCTTTTTTATTTATTAAATTATCTTATATAAAATTGACTTTCTGAGGGGGGAAGTTCTATGAATTTTAACATATGTATAGATTTGTGTAACCATTACATTATAGTTAGGCTATAGAACAGTTCTCTCTCTCCAGAAAACTTCCCTCTTAGCATTTTTTTAAAGATGGAGACAGTGTCTTGCTATGTGCCTAGGCTAGTCTCAAACTCCTGGGCTCAATTGATCCTCCTGCCTCAGCCTCCCAAAGTACTGGGATTATAGGCATAATACTCTGTGCCTGGTACCCTCTTAGAATTTTTAAGTGTTTCAAACCACCATAACTGTTCTTTATTGTGGGAATTCATTGTCCTGTTATCTCTCTTGAATTTGTAACCAGAAAATAGGTTGATTTATTATTCAATAACTCTTCAATCCACTTGCCTTTCTAATGTGCTTAACTTCTAATTGCCAATTTTACATTTTGTTGATTTATAATCATGATCAAAGCTAGTAGTCATTTCTTTCTCTGTCAAATATCATCAACTAATCTAGTCTTAATCTCTAACCTTAGGAGATTTCCTGGACAATGGTGTCAATGAATCTGTCCTCATTCATGTTACATCTGTTTATGAGTAATGTTTTGTTCGTCATCTGCATTGCCTTTTGAACTGCCAGTTGTCTGATGTAAATGCTGGAGTTTATTATCTGGAGTACACAAGAGAGTCACTGCTGTGTCTCTTTTCTAGGATCTACAGATCTAGATGTTTCTTTCCCTGAGTGTTTTAATGACTTTGTGCCATACATTTTCTGTTTGAGTACTTGTATCACTGTATATCTCTCTGAATATATATGATACATGCAAATCAAAAGGGGAAACTCACAAGCTATTAATCAAAACTTTACTTGATTAATATTTAAACAACAGTTGCATATTAGCCAAACTGTTTTAGGCATTTAAGTTTATAGTTGTGACATGCATTTTCAGTAGAATAATTTTCAGTTGATAGCACATGAAAGTTAATAAATTATTGTAAACATATATTCAATCAATACTTTCTGTGCTCTGGTAAGAGCCTGTCATTTATGACTTTACCATAAATCAAAAATTAAGAAGCACATATATTTTTGTAATGATTGTCATTAACATCATTTGAAGCCATCTTAAGTATTATTATCTCATACAGAGAAAACATTAACATTTTTAGCTGGGCATAGTGTGGCACAAGCCTGTAGTCCCAGCTACTTGGGAGGCTGAAGCAAGAGGATCACTTGAGCCCAGAGGTTGAGGCTGCAGTGAACTATGATCATGCCACTGCATTCCAGCTTGGGCAATGGAGCAAGACCCTGTTTCAAGGGAAAAAAATTAATTTTAACCCTCACTTTTAGATCTTAAGTTTTCTTGTTTTATGATTATTCTAAGGTTTTCCAAGGCTCCTTCTGTAGCAATAAGGTTTCTTGGAATATGGTGATTCTCTTGTGGTCTTTTTTGAGTTATGTCTTCAAAGCCATTTTTTGTTTCCATTTATGTCATTTTTTTTAATTTTTGGAGAAAAATATATTACTATTGAATGAGATTCTTTATTATTGTTGTTTAGGAACTGCAAGTTAAAATTTTATGGAATATTGCAGCTACTCTTATTTGCTTGTACTATTGACTTTTCTTTGAAGTTACAAATTGACTATTTTCTCATTTATTCTTCAGATGGATCCTGTGCAAAAGGCAGTTATTAACCATACATTTGGAGTATCCATTCCCCCAAAGAAGAAACAAGTTATTTCTTGTAATGTCTGTCAGCTTCGCTTTAATTCTGATGTGAGTATCACCTTTTCATTATTCTCTGTAGTTTTTCAGAGCTGAAAGTCTGATCTGAATATATACATTTCTTCCTATTTACATACTCTTTAAAAGCCACTCATATTAGTAGCCCACTTATTTCAGGATGCCAGATTTTCAAGGGATTTGGGTTCAGTGCCTTAAACTTGAACAGTAGAGTATAGTTGGCCCTCTGCATCCACAGGCTCCATATCCATGGATTCAGCCTAGCTCACATTGACGGCATCTTTTAGAATAACAATACAACAATAAAAAATAATACAGAATTTAAAACCGGTAGAGGATTATACACAATAGTCTATATGTGACTAATATCAAAAATTAAGAATGTATCTATGCAATCAGTCTCAACTATATCATTTTACACTTAATTTCACTAATTATATTTACTTGTCAAAACTACTTGAATAGCAGAAAATATGAAAAAAGTTTTAAAATGTAATGAAGATACTTTAAAAATTAAAATGCAATAAATGCTGAAGAAAACCATTTTTACTATTTGATATCAAGTGCCACATTTCATGTTTGTGTCAAATTTTGTTAAATACCTAAGAGAATTATTAATTCCCTATATGATTTATATTTTCCCAGAATATAAAACACAGAGAAAGTTTCATAAATTATTTTATCTGGCTAGCATAACCATCCCGCTAGAAAAAGATAAGAAAATGGAACAAATCAAACTCTTTTATGAAAATGGGTTTCTAAATTTATAAACAAAATAACAGGAAGGCAAAATAAGCAATATTAGAATATTTGCAATATCCAATTACCAAGTAAAGCCAATGACCAAAGTAAATAAGAATCTGAAGGCTGCATATAATGTGTGGTAATTCCTGAGTTACTTGACCCCAGAAGCCACTTTGAAAAGAGCTTGTTACAGAATTAATGTTGTTTAGAAATACTAAAATAATAATTACTCTTGTTTGCATATACTATTAAATTATGTTTTAATAATTTACATGGGAAGCTAATAAAAATTATAGTCTTTGGAAAGGAGATGTTTATCATGATTTATAAAATTATATTTAATATAATTTTAATCAAAAGTCCAATGGTTTTTTTAGTACATGATAAAACTGCATATTCAGGAATCAAAATGTATCTAAATAAACTGAAAAATATACAGTGTTAATTCATTTGAAGTCTAATATTGTTAAGATGTCAGTTCTCCCCCCAGCTGATCTGTAGATGCAGCACAATCTTGATGAAAATCCCAAAATGCTTTTTTAGTGTAGAAAATGGCAAGCTGTTTCTTAAATATACATAGAAAAGAAAAGCCCTAGAATAGCCAAAACATTTTCTTAAAGAACAAATTTTGAAGACTTAACACTTCCTGATTTTAATACATTCTCTAAAATCTACAATAATCAAGACTGTGAAATTGGTAAAAGAATGGTAGACACATGGATCAATGGAACAGAACAGAGTCCAGAAATATGACTCACACCAACATAGTCAATTGATTTTCAACAAAGTTGCAGAGTGAATTCAATAAAGAAAGGCTAATCTTTTCAACAAATAATGCTAGAAAAATTGCATATTCATCTGTAAATTTAAAAAACACCTTGACTGCTCCTGAGACAAAACATAAAAATTAATTCAATGGGAGCATTCATAAAATAAATTTTTTTAAAAAAGTATTAAACTTCTAGATGAAAACAGTAGAAAATCTCTTTGGCTTTGCATTAGGCAAAAATTTCTTAGAAAATAAAAACTGTGAACCATATGAATTTTTATATATTGGACTTTATCAAAATTTAAAACTTCTGCTCTAGAAGACACTGTTAACACTGTTAAGAAAATGAAAAAAAAGCTATAGACTGGGATAAAAATATTTGTATCTGCTTAAGAACGTCCATACAAAATATATAAATAACTTATAATTCAATAATAAATGATAAAATGGGAAAATGATTTGAATAGGCACTTTACCAAAGAAGAAATATGAATGACAAATAAGCACATAAAAAGATGCTCAACATGTTCAATGATTAAGGAAATACAAATTAAAACCACAATCAGATACCTATTAGAATGATGAAAATTAAACAAATTGATAGGTTCAAATGGCCAGGATGATGAGCAACTGGACCTCTCATACATTGCTAGTGAGAATACAAAATGGTACAGCCACATTGGAAAACAATTTAGCAGTAATTTTTAAGAAACTTTATAAAGTTATACATACATTTCCCATATGATCCAGCAATCCCACTTCTAAGTATATACCCTAGGCAAATGAAAACATATATTTATCCATATGTGCTGCTTAAAGTAATTTTATTCATAACTTCCCAAAACTGGAATTGACCCAAATGTCCATCAACTGTTGAATAAACAAACTATGTTAAAGCCATACAATGGAAATAAAGAAATAAAAGTAAATAGAAATAAAGTAAAAGAAAAAGAAAGTACTGATACATGCTACAGCATGGAGGAATTTCAAAGGCAGTATGCTAAGTGAGGGAAGTAAGACACAAAGACTATATACTGTATGATTGCACTTGGATAACTTTCTGCAAAAGATGAAACTATGGGGACAGTCAGATAAGTGGTTAACAGGGGCTGAGGGTTAAGTTAGGGATTTGACCACAAAGGAGAATGCAGAAACCTTTTTGGATGATGAAAATATTCTGTATCTTTATTGCTGTGATGTTTACCTAACAGTCTTTGTTTTTCAAAATTCATTAACCTGAATACCTAAAAAAAAATTTTACTATATTTAGAGTTTGCTTTAGTAAACCTAACTAGAAAAAATTAATGATATGAGCCACAAAATATCTTATAAATAGAAGACTAGCTTATGATAGAGACGTAACTACTAAATATTTTAAACTACAATATTATTACTAGATTAAAAGTATAATAAAAGACTTTTATAAGAATAGACACAATAATTAATATTGAAATAGATTCAAGTAAATTTAACAGTATTGCTCAGTTATTCAAATTTTTAGAGTTATACTGAGAAATTAAAGTTTATTGTTATATAAATATGACATGAAAATGTTTACTACTTACCTGACCACTTATAAAATGAATGCCCAACTAAAGGCATGCTGCATCTTTAACACTGTTGCTGCCACAAGGCCAGATACTTAAAAACGTCTCACATTACAATGCAAACAATAGATTTCATAATGAAATTGCAAAAATTGTACAAAAGATGCATAATTTTATGAAGTTTGCTAATGTAATGTTAGAGAACTGCTTGGTTCAAAGCCACTGAAAAATTAGGATTTGTCTATTAGAAGAGTTGATTTACAAGGAGTAAAATAACAAGGTTGATGATGGATAGATTCTTCAAAACAAAAGATGTTGAACACTGACTGAATAATAGAAGCTCAGAGACAATTATGAATTCCTCGAATTAAAAAAATAACATATTTATAGTTCAAAACTGTGATAATATTAAAAAACATATTGAGGGTGGGTGCAATGGCTCATGCCTGTAATCCCAGAACTTTGGGAGGCTGAGGCAGGTGGATCTCTTGAGGTCAGGAGTTCGAGGCCAGCCTGACCGACAGTGAAAGCCCATCTCTACCAAAAATACAAAATGAGCCAAGCAGGGTGGCGTACACCTGTAATCCCAGCTACTTGGGAGGCTGAGGCAGGAGAATCGCTTGAACCTGGGTAGCAGAGGTTGCAGTAAGCTGAGACTGCTCCGTTGCACTCCAGCCTGGGCAACAAGAACAAAACTCCATCTCAACACAGACAAACACACACACACACACACGCACACACACACACACACACACGCACACACACACATACACACGCGCGCACACACACACACACAGAATCCCTTTCCCCTTCTTTCCAACCTTTGTGTCATTCCCTATTTGTAACTACTTTAATATTTTAATATTTTTTGCCTATCTCTCCAGGGTTTGCTTATGCAAATATAACTAAGTATAAATCCATATTCTTATTTCCTTCCTTTTCTATGTAAATGGTAGCATACTACTGACACTCTTCTTTGCCTTGCATTTTTTATGTAACAATAGATTCTGGAGAATATTTTCTATCTGAACATAGAGAGCTCCCTTACTCTATTTATAGATGTGGTAGGCAAAGATGCCCATATCCTAATTTCTGGAACTTGTCAATATATCTTACATAACAAAGGGGAATTAAGGTAGTGGATGGAATTAAGAGAACTAATATTCTGACTTCATGATAACAGGACTACCCTGTATCATCCTGTGGTCCCATTGTAATCAGTAGGTCTTTAAAAGTAGAAGAGGGAGGCAGAAGAGGGAGTCAGAGTGAGCCTATCTGACAAGGAGTCCACTGGCCATTGCTGGCTTTGCAGGGGAAGGGAGAAGCCACAAGCCAAGTAATGTGGGCAACCTCTAGAAGCTGGAAAAGACAAATAAATGGATTTTCCCTTAGAGCCTCCAGAAGGAATGCAAGCCCTGCCAGCACCTTGGTGTTAGCCCAGTGAGACCCATGCCAGATTTCTGACCCATGGAACTATAAGATTATAAACCACTAAGTTTATAAAAAATTTGCTATGAAAGCAACAGAAAACTAATTCAGTAGTTTATTTGTAGATGTTTCATAGTTTAACTCATCCCTTACAGGTGGACACTTAGATTGTTCCTATCTTTTATTATCTCCTAGATTTTTAGTCTATAAATGGCAGAGCTAGGACATAAGTCTGGATCTCTTGCCTCTAAATCTACAGCTCTTATTTTGTTGCCTCACATAACTTTATTCATTTCCTGAGCATTTACTAAACTCTTCCTGTGTGATAAACACTTTGCTAATCTCTACAATATGGCCTGAAATGGACCACATGATCTTTAGGAGGACCATTCAAGTTCTAGAAATCATTTCCATGGTATCTGTCAGGAGCATAGGATATAAACACCTCCATCTTAAAATCAACAGCTAAAACCCAGAAAAAATGACTATGAATTTGTTTTTATTTGTGTTGTGGGCTGAGTTGGGGGAGGGCTAAGAATTTCATT